GACAAAATATCTAAATTAAAGCACAAATTGATTAAGATTAAAAATACATAATAAAGTTTAATTAAAATACTGATAACATAAAATTATAAATTAAAACCAAACAAACATAAACTAAATGCAAGAAAATAATTTTTAAAAACATAATATAAATTTAAACAATAATCTAGTACCCAGGATAATTATTTCCGGTTCCGCTAAAATAATGATAATACTGGGTATAATCATGTTGGTCACTTGGTGATCTTTGGTTTTCACCTTGAGATTGTTGTCCTTGAGATTGTTGTCCCTGAACATGTTCGACACCAACTTGTTCTCCTTGAGCTTGTTCTCCTTGATAACGCGATGCCCGATATTGAGATCCATGATATTGGCTTTGAGAACCTTCTCCTTGTTCTTCATATTGGTTTGTTGGTGCCCTTCTCCTCAGAATGATCGCTCTTTGATTTTCAATATACTCACGACTTGCTGGATCAGTTATAGAGTTCAAATCCGCGAATAATATTTTATTCTCTTGTTTCATTCTTTGTACCTCGACCTTCTGTTTTTGAATTTCATTTCTTTCAGAAGTACCTTTAGCAATAGCTTTGATAAGCCTATCATTTTGCTCCATCATTTGTTTAAATTGATYATCAGATTGTTGTTTTCTCTTTGCTTTCTTCATACCCATAGGTCTCTGAGATATATTAACAGTGGCTTCTTCACTATTAATATTTAGATCAAATGAATTCCTACCGGATGATGGCGATGACTCATCTTGGAATGATGATGATGACATAACATTACGACCTTCTTCTGGGAATGCAGCGGCTCTACTAGTGTGGTTATTTGAAAACTTCTCAATATCTTTAAGAATTTGCCAGACATGATCAAATTTGAATCCTTTGTTGTATTTGAYATCTTGTTCTAATAACGTCTTCGCTTGATTTAACTGATTTAATATTTACAGGAAAAATGTATATAAGTTAGCAAGTATAATAAATTAAGTTAAAATTTTAAAAATGTAAATTAGCAAGTATAATAAATTAACGATAATTAAGTTAAAATCATTCATGTATATACAG